CGGCTTGGAAACGGGGATGAGCACCGCCCCCTAGAGTCGGACAAGGCTGGACTAAATGTCAAGGGGAACATTTACCTTCCAATACCCAACCCCAGTGCTTCACACAAATTGTCTGTTTCGCCACAGAAATATTTCTGTATTTCTTTCCAGTTATTCATTCATTCAAAAATGGCACAATTACAGTGAGGAAGAGATGTCCTCATGACATCAGAGATGCTAGCCTATCAACACTATATTCAGCTTTCTTATTCTTAGAGAGCTGGATCCTGTATAGGAATGGTTATGTCTGGACTGAATTCAGTGAAAGCTCTTCCAGATTGGCCTCCACTTCTATACATCTGTCTTCTCTGTTAGTGTGAGCAGATGTGGTGAGACTGGAAGGATTTGGGCATAACATTGTAGTTTTCTTGTGTGTTCCAGAACTGTGCTGTGCCAAGAAGAAAAAAAATTAATGAAACAGTATTTTGGCCTTTTCAAAGCAGTGTTGATGCTTTGTGAAGCTAAGAACTGCACACAGAAACACTTTCTTTATGGTTAACTTCTTTCTCATTTCCTGTTCTTAACTATGAAAGGTGGCAAATTAAATCCTGCATCCTGCTTGGCAGAGTCTCCCACATGATTCTACCCTTGCTATGCCAACAAATACAAGAACACTGAATTGATCTTTTATACTTTAATAGCCACAACCAGGAATAGTTACACTAAGCAGCAAAGGTGCCTACTGACAGCTAAGGGGATACAGGATTGCAGTCTTAGAGCAAAGGGAGGGGTGACATTTACAAACTCACGCACAAAATTGTTCGACAAACATGATATTGCCTCTTTCCTTTTCCCACCATTGCAACTTCACTGAGTTTGGTCACCCAGCCCTCCAATTACATTTCAAGAGGTCTGAGCAATTCAGATTTGTCCATATTGGGTCATATAATGAACAGACACAACCATGTGGGTCTCTAGGCTTGTATTTTTTCATGAGGATGCTTGGAATTAACTATTTACGTATAAACAGGTAGTCCCATTCCATTTTTTTTCCAATGACAAATCTACATTGTTTTATTATTGCAACACCACTGTTGCTTTCATGTAACTATGATCTTTTTAGTTAGTTTTACAGTTACGGGATGCGGCCTTGCTAAATCCTGAATGAGGATTATCACTTGTTTCATGTGCAGGCTTGTGCTACCTCATGTAACGCACATACCTCCATCTCAGTTACTTTTGAGAAAGGGGGGAAATAATACAGTACTTCCACTATTTAAAAAAAATCACAACAATAATCTCTGCCCTTAAGGACAAAATAGAGATGGACTTTAGAACTAAGATGACTTGGAGAATTAATTGTTGAACCATTTCTGTCCTGTTTAGAACGCTGACACAATTTTGGTTAAAATCCAATTGTTTCAGTTATGTTTGATAGCACAGAAGCCATTGAAATAGTGTGATTGTCACACACAAAAAAATCTCTACCATTCAACAACATTACTGGCTGAAAGAGATTTCCAGTAAAGTTTTTTTTTTCCTTCCAACACTGGAGGCATTCAAGAGAAAATTGGACAACCGTCTGTCAGATCTGCTTTAATCTGGATTCCTGCCTTGAGCAGGGGACTTGATGGCCTCATAGGCCCCTTCCAACTCAATTATTCTGTGATTCTAGCATTCCCACCTTCTACAAAATGAAACACACTGAAAGCTGTCGGAAGAGGCACAAAGTCTTTAATTACAAAATCTCCCCTTGCTTGTGATGCCCCCACTATTCCACAGACATAACAGGATTTGACCTTTCCTTTATTCCTACAGGTTCAAACAAAGTGGCTCCTTGATAACTTCAGCTACCTTCAACTTCCGCATCAGACAGTCTCTTGTGGATTCCTTCCTCTTCATCCCTTCCTTTCCCTTCTATCCACACAATGAGTTGCTGAATAAAGAAGCCCGAATAATGCCTTATTCCATTTAGGTCTGCATTCCAGGGAAACCACCATTCCTACCGCTAATATAATTTGTTCTGCTGCCCAGCTGGTTTGCCTGTTTGTGCAGCCACACGTTAGCAACTAGTAAGCCAGTGCCATCTAGTGGTGGCAAGTAGGAAAATACAAATTCGCCCATCATTTGTAAAAGGGGGTACAGTATTCATTTCATTGGTCAGTCTCTAGATACTCATTGGGAGACAGTTGCATTTGCAACAAGCTGGGCCATTTTACATCACTCAAGAATCAGCCCCAGCGTGTGGCCTGTTATTTTGTCAGATAAAGGCAAAACAAACAAAAAAATTAGGCCATTACAGCCTTGCACCAATAGTTCATTTCAAACGGGGGCATTATAGTCACCTGAAATAACAGACCTATTCACTTCAAATGGGGGCATTATAGTCACCTGAAATAACAGAAACTGAGAACAAGAACAGTGGGTGTTAGATTACAGAATACACTACAGATTTGACCTACTGTGAAGTTCTGATCTCAGTAGCATAAATTCTTCCAATTAAATCCACCCTAGGATGTCTGCAGATAGCAGTAACTTTGTTTCCTCTTTGCAGGAACAGCATTTCCTTTCTTAGCGGTCCCTTCATAACCAACTACCTCACAGCAACTTTCTTCATCTCATTTTATACTTGTTCAGAGTATCTCAGACTTTGCATGATTCAAAAGCTACGAATTCACAAATAGTTCATTAACCTTATTTATCTGCTGTCAGTTCTAGGCACAAAAGTATCCTGGACCAGAGTGCACATAATAAAATCATCTGGTCCTTAGCAGGTCTGAAAATTAGGTAAATACAACCTCAGATAAACAACAACACATGACATATTACACATATCATGATTTATTTTACAGCAATATAGCCAAAATGGAGAAGCCATGTGTGAAAAACTGAGCACATCTTATGATTCAAGAGCTTGTAGATCCACCTTTAGCAGCAATAATTTGAAGTAATCGTTTTGTGTGTGACTTTATCAGCCTCTCACATTGTTGTGGAGGATTTTTGTCCCACTCTTCTTTACAATGTTGTTTCATTTTACTGAGGTTTGCGGGCATTTGTTTATGCACCGCTCTCTTAAGGTCCTGCCACAACATTTCAATTGGGTTGAGGTCCGTACTTTAACTGGGCCATTGCAACAATCCCCCCCCCTTCTTTTTTCAGCCATCCTGTTCTAGATTTGCTGGTGTGCTGGGGATCATTGTCCCTTGCATGACCTCATTTCGGCCAAGCTTTAGCTGTTGGACAAATGGCCTCACAATTTATTCTAGAATACTTTGGTATACAGAGGGGTTCATGGTCGACGTAGTGTCTGCAAGGTCCTGGGGCTGCAAAACAAGCCATCTAGAATACTTTGGTATACACAGGGGTTCGTGGTCGACATAGTGTCTGCAAGGTGCCAAGGTCCTGGGGCTGCAAAACAAGCCCAAATCATCACCTATCCACCACCATGCTTGACAGTTGGTATGAGGTGTTTGTACTGAGTTTGGTTTTCACCAAACATGGCACTGTGTATTATAACTAAAAATCTCCACTTTGGTCTCATCTGTCCAAAGGACATTGTTCCAGAAGTCTTGTGATTTCTCCAGATGCAACTTGGCAAACCTAAGCCAATGCTGCCATGCACTGATAAGAGAGAAGAGGCTTTCTCCTGGCAACCCTCCCAAGCAAACTATACATGTTCAATTTTTTCTTATTGTTCTGTCATGAGCTTTAACATTTAACATGCTAATTGAGGCCTGTAGAGTCTGAGATACAACTCTTGAGGTTTTTTGCACTTTCTCCAAGCATTGCACTGTCTGACCTTGGGGTGAATTTGCTTGAACATCCTGTGAGGGTTCGTTTTTTGCCTCCCCATTATTTAAGAGACTCTGGAGACACTCTCATTGCAATAAGAAGGACGATGTGGTAGCCCCTCTCTTCTCTGGTAATCTGCTTCCTCCCGGGGAACCCGTACTTTTTCCCATTTACCGGTCCAAGGGTCCTCTACCCATATCATCTCCCAACCCCCTGGTATTAGGTGTACCTCTCCTTTTATATCTCCCATTCCTGCCTCCACGACGGACCTCCCTCTTTCCTCCTTTTCCGCCAATTCACTCCCCATCTGTGTGGCCACTGTCATTTTCAACATTTCCTGCTCCAACTCCCAGGTGTCAACTCCTCGATGGGAGTCTAGTCTCGATGGGCGGTGCAAGTGGATTTGTCTGTGCCTCTTGTTCCTTTTTGAGGGAGGATGACACTCTGGCAAGAGCCTTTACACTCTTGCCTCGCGTCTCACACGTTCACTCCTGGGAAGCTTGGCAACTGTTTTGAATGTTTTCCATTCGTGAATAATCTTCCTCACTGTAGAATGATGGACTTTAAATGATTTGGAAATGGCCTTTTAATTCTTTTCAGATTGATGGACAGCAACAACTGCTTCTCTACAATCATTGCTGATGTCCTCCTTGGCATTGTGTTAGCACACACCTGAATGCTCCAGACCAGCAAACTGCTAAAAATTTCAGCTTTTATAGTGGTGGTCACACTTGTGCTAATGATCAATTACTCAAGGGCATTTGGTTGGCAGCACTTGGCTGCTACTTAACCTCTTAATTCCTAGGCAAAGAGCAAGGGTGTGTTTAGTTTTTCACGCATGTTTTCTCCAATTTGGCTTTAATTTTGCATGACACATTGTAATATGTCATGTGTTGTTATTCATCTGATGTTGCATTTACCTAATTTTCAGGTCAGTTAAGAACCAGATAATTTTTATTATGTTCTGATACATAAAACCATAGAATTGAAAGAGGGTGTACTTTCTTTTTCACAGGACTGTGTGTCTCTATCTTTAGCATATCTATATCTATATGCTGTTCAGTCAGAACTGACTTATAGAGACCCTAATTGGGCCAAATGGTACCATGGTGGAATCCCACAATATAACTGCTATGGAGCAGAGCAGAACTTTCCCATTGTTATTGTATGACAGTGGTCTTGAATAACAGAACCTTTTGTACCAACTGCCATCCTACACTCTACTTGTTCAGCTGCTCCAGGAGGCAATCAGGAAACAGAAAGGAATCATCAGGGCAATGTTTCCTTCCCCTGAAATCCCTCCCCAAAGAAAATCATTAATCAGAAGAATCCAGGTTTCTTCATTGCCATGGCCACGTCAAAAAACCAAGTCTGGAGAGTCTGCCACATCCAGAAAAATCTGTAGCTTATTGTATACAATTCTCTTGACAATGCTCCAGCATTCACTGAGGGCAGGAACTGCAATATTGGGAGGTGTGGCCATACCTCCTGATTTCATACAACTCATGCAGGATTGGTGGGTGAGATTCTAAAGGTAAAAAGGTAAACATTCCCCTTGACTCGTGTCCGACTCTAAGGGGTGGTGCTCATCCCATTTTCAAGCGGTAGAGCCAGCGCTTGTCCGAAGACAGTTTTTTTTTTCCCCGTGGCCACAGTGTGACTAGGGAACACCATTTTACCTTCCCACTGAGGTAGTACCTATTTATCTAGTCGCATTTGCAGGCTTTCAAACTGCTAGGCTGGCGAGGAGCTGGGACAAAGTGACAGGAGCTCACTCCGTCGCGTGGATTCGATCTTATGACTGCTGGTCTTCTGACCCTGCAGCACACAAAGGCTTCTGTGGTTTAGCCCACAGCGCCACCACGTCCCCACGGGACAAAAAAAAACCTGTTTCCTACTCTTGTAATGTCGCCTCTTTCAATGCCACACTCTTATAGCAGGACATGCAATGCTCTCTGGCTCCACACAGCTATCTAACACGGGTGAGGTTCTAGCTAGGGACAAAAAAACCCTGTTTCCTACTCTTGTAATGTTGCCTCTTTCAATGCCACAGGCATGATGGCTTCTTTTAGCAGGACATGTAATGCTCTCTGGCTCCACACAGCTATCTAAACTGAACATTAAATCTATCTCTTCTTGAAGAGACTCTACTCTTGTGGAGCCCTCTTACTTCTAAGGTTCCTCAGCAGCTGAGGATCACAGTTGCTGAGGAACCTACTATCAGATTTTATTTAGTTAGGATTAATTAATCCATTCTTAAAATATCCTTGAGATAGATGCTTTCTTGAACCTCTTATCATCTATGTCACATGGTTTCAGGTCTAAGCTTCAAAGCCTTAGACTGATGGCTGGTTTGCGCGCGCGCGCGCGCGTGCGCACGCACACACGCACACACACGCACACACACGCACACGCACACGCACACGCACACACACACACACACACACAGAGGCTACAACCTGGGATATGTGCATTTTGACCTATCAATGTTTTCAGATCAAGGACATGTGTGATGTATTTAAGATCTCTCGTTACAGGACCAGGTGTTTTGGCAAAGTCCTTTATACAGCGGTTAGACTTCCCATTGCTCTGTTTACATTCAGCCCTTTTAATGTCTATCACTTTAATGAGAGTAGCAGAGAAAATTTTGTAACTGTCCTCGGGAAAGCTATGTAAACGGACAGAATTTATTGCAGGATTAACGAAGAGGGAAAGGAAAAAGAAAGGAAGGGGGCAACATGAGCAGCCAGGTGCAGATAAAACACAGAAACAAAATAAGACATGTAGAGAGCTGCTAGAAAAGATGTTTTGTCAGGTGACTAAAAGTGAAGCATGTTGTACACAGCTCAGCGTTTTAAAATTTTACATACTGTACAATGTTTTTTTAAAAAAATCTCTAATTCTTGTCTTCTTGCATTAATGTTACGTAGCTGCTTAATAGAAGACATCCTGCTGGCTTGGATGAAAGACTTCTACAGTCCAGCATACTCTTCACTGATTGGCCAGGTGGGTACCGAGGAGAAACCCACAAGCAAGACATTCATACTCTTCAGCAACTAAGGGCTTGTTTACATGGCTCTTTTGGAATGGGCTGGGATGGGCTAAAGAGAATTGTTTGGGACAAAGAGAGGTGGGTTATGCCATTTGGTGAGATACTTGCACTCAAACGGCATAACAGAGCTTAAGCAATTAATTCCATTTGATCTGTCACCTTCCAGTGAGAATTTCCAGTATCATGAAGTGCCTCAATAAGAGATCTGCTTCTGATATTTAAGGAGTGTTTTTACCAGTTCCACTCCCGCAGTGAGTTTCCATGGCCAAGTGAGGTCTCAAACCATATTCTCTAGAGTGCTAGTCCATCACTCTATCCACTACACCATATTGGGAATCATTTCCTACATTAGACCCATAATCATAGAATCATAGAGTAATGAAGTTGGAAGTAGCCTATGAAGTCACTGATGGTCCCTGCTCAACACAGGAATACAAATCAATGGATATCTTGCCAGATGGTTGTCAAAATTTCTCCTGAATGCCTCCCGTGTTGAAGCACGGGGAGGAAATTGGTTCCATTGCTGTACTGCTCTGACAGTTCAGAGGTTTTTCCTGATATACAACCGAAATCTGGCTCCTCTAACTTGAGCCCATTGTTGCATGTCCCACACTCAAGAAGAGATCCTGCCCCTCCTGTGTATGACAACCTTTCAAGTATTTGAAGTGCTATCTTATGTCCCCTCAGTTTTCTTTTCTCAAAGCTAAACAGGGACAGTTCTTTTAGTCTTTCCTCATAGGGGTGAAAAGATTCCACCATATTTCCCCCACCGTTGCCGCATTGCACTGGCTACCTATTTGCTCCCACATAGATTTCAAGGTGTTGACAGATACAAAGCCCTAAACAGTTTAGGCCCTTGATACCTGGCAGAGCGCCTTCTTCCGCCTAGTTCTGCCCGTATCACCCGTTCTAGTCATGCCGGGCGGCTGAGGGGCCTAACGCCGAGAGAGATCCGAAAGGAAAAAACTAAAAATCGGGCCTTCTCAGCAGTGGCCCCTCATCTCTGGAACAACTTACCTGTAGAGATCCACCTGGCCCCCTCACTGAGGGCCTTCAAGACCAACCTGAAGACATGGCTTTACACGCAGGCCTTGTCTACAGCCATCACCTAGCCTCTCTCTCTCTTTTCTTGTTTTTCCATCTTGGATTCTGTTGTTAATTTGTGTCTTATTCTTATTACCTATTCATAGTTTATTTTTTCTGTTTTGTGTAAACTGCCCAGAGTAGACATGTCCTAGATGGGTGGTATATAAGTTTAATAAAATAAATAAATAAATAAATAAATCAATCAATCAATCAATCAATCAATCAATCAATCAATCAATCAATCAATCAATCAATCAATCAATCAATCAATAAATAGGGCTTGGTTTCCAGCCCCTGATCATCCTTGTTGCCCTCCTCTGAACTTGTTCCAGTTTGTCGGCATCCTTCTTGAAGTGCAGTATCCAGAACTGGACACTGTACTCAGGATGAGGCCTAACCAGCGCTGAACAAAGGAGAACTAGTACCTCACAGGATTTGGGGACTACACTTCTGCTAATCCAGCCTAAAATAGCATTTGCTTACATCATTAAAAAGACAATATTTAAAAGCTAAAAACAGTAAGTAAATGAATGTTTAAAACAATTAAACAAGTATTATATTAAAATGGTAGCAAAAATCAATACTAAAACACATTTAAAACAACAGAGCAAAGGAGAACTAGTACCTCACAGGATTTGGGGACTACACTTCTGCTAATCCAGCCTAAAATAGCATTTGCTTACATCATTAAAAAGACAATATTTAAAAGCTAAAAACAGTAAGTAAATGAATGTTTAAAACAATTAAACAAGTATTATATTAAAATGGTAGCAAAAATCAATACTAAAACACATTTAAAACAACAGAGCACAAAAATCCATGTATGAATTATCTTAGAACTGCAGAGCTGCAAGGGACCTTACAGATCATTGAGTCCAGCCCTCGCCAAAGAGGCAGCGGGGAATCAAACTCCCAACTTCTGGCTCCTCAGCCAGAGACGTAAACCACTAAGGTGTCCAGCAATTCATGGAGATAAGAACACTGATCTCCCTTGCAAGGCTGGAATAAGGGTTACTGTACTATAGCACATGTAGGATACTTTATGTAAATGCTCAGTACTGCTAAGCTCTTTCCATCTTCCAACATTTATTTTGCTACACTGATGCCTAAAGTATGGGAAGGAAAGGCATTTTAGAACAAGAAAAGAGATCCCTAATTTTCTTAAGAGACCTTTAAGAAACACTTTTAGTTGCCTTCACTTCCATATGGGGAATTATACTCACATTTGTTGTTTTTTACGAATTCCTTAACAAAAACAAAAATATATTATTTGCTACTAGAGAAGATACCATGTGCCCAAGAACACAAGAATAAGGCGAACCAGCATCCACCAAATTATACACATTTGGTCAGAACACAACATGAAAGAAAATGTCTACTCCATGCATCTCCTCCATCCCTATTATGTCTAGTGAAACAAACTACAATATGTCACCCCTCCTCTTCCTTAGTTTATTTTATTAAGGATGGGAAAATTCTCGATGCAATTACCTAAGGTAACACATTTTGTTTTACTCCTTCTAAAGGGTGGGAAGGGAAAGGCTGGGGTAAGGATGTGGCAGGCATTCCATGTGTGTCTGCTCCCACCTTTTAACAACCATATTGCTAAGAACTGCAATTTTAATTTTAAAAGCATTGCCTTTCCTGTCTTAACATTAGTGCAGCGACCACTGTTGTAATTTAAACATAAACACACACACACACACATGCACACCAGGGACACCCTCCCAGCCACAATACGGTCTTCATGTCACCTGTGAAAACATGCCGAGAGACTCTCACATCCTGGTTTTCCAAGCCCAACACTTCATCTGGACTCACAAAGCCATGTTTAATCAATATAGAGGCTCAAGTGTAAACACGCACTCAGGCCAGCCGCCCAATTGGAAGTGACACTTTCAACAGGCCTTGGCAGAATCATTTGCCCCCGACCCCACCCTCTCCCCAAGTCTCTTGAACATCTATGATGATGCTCTCTTTGAGTCCCACGTGCACAAAGCTGACCTGAGCGCTTCCCTCCCTCCCCAGGCCTTGCTTTGTGTGGCTGACGGCCTGCATGTCTTCTCTCTGCAATTCTTCTTCTTCTTCGTTTTTTCTAATTGCAAGCCCTCCCCTCCCTCCTCCCAGGTCTGAATGGCCTATTAGGAAACCCCCTTTGTGATGTAATTGGATTTCTCCCCTTGTTAGTTTGCAATGAAAATGTCATCTAGACGGAGGGAGGCGCCCATTCATCTCGAATTAAATTCAGTCATTTCTTCAGTGAGCTGTGAACTATTCATGCCTCTGCAGCAAGCAGCTGCAACCCAGAAGTGCCTTTGACAATACCCCAGGCTCAGTTCCCTCTTTGTCAAACTAACACACGCTCACCTGGTCCCCGTCGCCCCCATGGCTGACCACCAACATGGATCAGGCGCAAAACAGCACATAGTGCTGAATGTTCAACTTCAGCATCCCCAGATTGTTCATGAACGCCAAGAACTTGGCTGGCTGAACTTGAAGTCCCCTCGTGAAACTGAGGCTGGGCCTACCTGAGTGAGCCATTGTGGCAAGCACTGTTGAGCAACTCTCAGAAGTGGACTGGAACAGCCAGGTAAGTGTGCAAGTTGCCACTGAATGTTTGCCACAATGTCCTAGAGTAGTTTCCAGCCTTGGTGTTCTTGGGACTAGAACTCCCAGATATCCTGACCAGCACCACTAAGTAATTAAGGCTTCTGGGAGTTTTAGTCCAAGACGATCAGAGAAACGAAGAGTAGCAGCACTCTGTGGCATTTTAAAAAACATATTAGTTCAGTTAGTAACTTCACTATTCCATCTTTCCTGGCGGTGATCTCTGTGGCTCTGCTTCTCACTTCTCGTAACAATCCAATGAGGGACATTAGACTGAGAGTTGGCCAAGGAATCTGGAACTGTAATATCAGGTGCTGTTTCCAGTTTTTCTTTTTCTTTTTTCTTTTTAAGATGTCTCTTCCCCATCACTCTCACACAAACTCCTTGAAGAAATGAAAGCTGATTTAAACACAACAGCCCAAAGGAAGAAAGAGTTGGAAAGCCACTTCTGCCATGAGATGCTTCATAAAGCAAAAAGCAACTTTAAAGGGCCTCCAGAAATTGCCTCAATACCTTCACGCACCACTGTCCAAGAAATCCTGCACGCTAGGAGTGTTGCCAGCACAAACATGGAAGCAGCAGACTTCCATTGAAGTACTAGCCAGTAAGCCATAAGGGTCTTGAAACAGCATGCAAGTCCAGTTCATATTCTGAAAAGTCTCCCATACACACACACAAATTAAGCCACGGGAGCAGGATGTTCAAACGGCTCTGAAAGCTGCCCAGAGACCTTTGGGTAGAGTGGGCAGCATATAAGTTAAATAAATAAATAAAATAAAAACTGGGACTGCAGAATGGGAGAACAGCCAACCAAGGAAACCTGGTAGTCATCCAAACATTACTGAGCTCCAGTTCTCAGCACCCAGCACAATGACATGGTGCAGTGCAATAGTGGCTGACCAACACCCGGACGTTCCTTACACTTTTGAGTTACAGCCTTCCTCTTCCCAGTTGCCAGACATGCAACTTGCACTTTACAACATTTTCTGTGCTGCCTGGCACAGAAGCCACAGAGGAGAGTCAATGAGGATGGCCAGGTGGGATCCTCCCAGAGGATCAGCTGGAGATGACCAATTATGAGCTGGATGCCAAAACTTGGGACCAAATCCACTTAAGCAATGTCATTCGCTGCCTTTATGCCATTGCTTGCTGCATTGAGCATCTGTAAAGCCGAGCCATGAATAGCATGTGCTTAAACATACCGTGGACAGGGTCAGCTACAACCCCTAGTGCCACTGCATTGTGAACCTTGATGTGTTTACAGTCAGGTGTCTTTTTGTTTTGTAACTCTGAGGCTAAATCCAGCCTTTGGACAAATGTTGTTTGGCCTGTTAGTTGATACACCAGAGAAGCCTCAGAGACAGGAAAGGATACATAGCCTTGTTAAAGGAACTTATTTAAATATTTAAATCGTTCAGAGGAGGGGAGTAGGACTTTGGCTCACCACCTGCCATTCCAAATATCCTTGTGGTGTGAAACATGCCTCGATCTTCAATCCAAGAAGCCATGCTCCTGATTCAAACTGCCATGGGAACATCCTTATTTAGGGGATTAGGCTCAAAGATTCAGACACCCACAGCAGAAGACCCTCTTTGTCCTTTTTATTGCCAAGAGCACCACCCCCTTAGAAAATGCAAGAACAAGTTGCTAAATGGATTAATGCTGTCACTTGAACTCACAATAGGGTCTCCCAGCACTGAGGGACCACCTCTGACAGGGTTCTCTCTGAAATTCGAGGATGCAAATCAATAAATGCCATGCAACAAAACTACCCAGGGAGACGCCCCTGATCCTTATGGCCGATTTTCCTCCCATTTTATTCATGAGCAACCTAACCGGTGAAC